TGAAACAGCTCGGCAAAGTAAACCATATCCATGAAGTTCATCTTTACATACTCCGAGATGCCCGGGAAATCGATGCCCTCCTGGTAACCATATCTAACCGAATAAAGAAACTAGGAAAACATTTTGCATGACATTGCAAGAAACCATGAAGTACAAATACAATAGAATCAGAGAAGCATAATTTGATCCAGAATTCACATCAGTTCTTATTAGAACAAGTTAACATCTAACATCCACCATGGCCTTGATCTTGTACAGAGTGAATAGTATCAACATATCTGCGACAACAACAGGGATCACTACCCAGAATTTGCAGGAACGAACTTGAGTGATATGCTATTGACACAATGGCGCTCGTCCGTGGGTGTCGGAAACCCTTCACCTTTAAATACATGGCCTAAATGTCCACCACAAGCTGCACAAGTGATCTCTGTCCTCATCCCATCTGGGTCCGGCTGGTTGAACATCACGCTCTCATCATTAGTAAAATTTACATGAAAGATACACCGGTTTTAAGATGATATGGAGAAAAGACCGGATTATATAGAAGAAAAACTAGCAACAGAGAGTGAAAATGGAGGAAGGAAGCTCACATTGCAATTAATAGCTCCAGGGAGACCCTCATAGAAAGCAGGCCAACCACACCCAGAATTGAATTTTGTAGTAGACTTATAGAGAGGAGTGCCACATCCAGCACAGTTATAAACACCGTCCTCAAAGAATTTGTCATATTCTCCGGTGCCTGGATACCTATACAGCATCAAAATATTGTTATGAATTTATCATTGAATATGACTTACGCTATGTTGCTCGACTCTTCATTTTCCATGAAATATTTGTGTCCAAAACTCGGGCAAAATTGTTAGAATGAGGTCTACCAGAAATTATTTCATGATTTAGGATGATTGCTACAGTAATAGGAGGATTACGTCAGGATTCCACGGTGATTTCAAAAAAGTATGTTAACTGCATGATGATTTCATAATCTCGCCGTGCTTGTAAGGCGAGTTCCCATTCCTCCCCTGCATTCGGACTGCATCGCTGCCAGGTAACATGCATGTAAGTAGCATGGGGAAGTCGTCTTGCGACATGCCGATACGTGAAAACGTCACGCAGTCAACGTGTTTTCTTGAAATAATCGTGGAATTCTGGCGAGATCCTCATATTACTGTAAGATGCACCTTATTCGAGCAAAAAAAAAAATCACCACAATATTCAAACAATTTTGCCCCGAAACTCGTGTTTGACACTTACAACAGAGTCGAGTATCATGATTCAGAGGAAATTATATTGAGCAATTAAGCATATGATGAAATGCCATTTGGGAGAACATATACCACAACTTTGAATGAACTTCCTAGAAGCTATTCCATGAACAAAACAGCTAAAAGAACAGATTTTTGCACATTGCAAGCTCAAAATTCTTCCCAAAAAATTATGTCGGTTCTCCATGTAGTTTATCAGATTACAAACTTTAATTGGCCCAAAAACAATAAAAGCTCAAAATTTATACAATTTCCCCTAGAAAGGTTCTAATTCAACGCTGTCAGTAGCTTAAAAGGAAAACTTACTCGGTGCCCTTTTGTCTCAAAATTCGAAACTGCTCAGGGGAGAGAATAGCACGCCACTCTTCCTCAGATTTCTGGAGCGACCCAGAAGCAGCCATGGCGACGACCACGCTCCCACGGTACCTACGCTTGCTCTGGTGAAGGAACCCACCGGACCCAGATGGAGAAACGAAGCAAGTAATGGCTTTCGGCGAAGAAAAAGGAAACCTCAAGCAAGAATTACAAGGAAGAACAGAATTAGAAGAATTTATCGAACAAGAACTGATAAATCTAGCGAAGGTGGCGGGTTTCACAGCGGTGAGTAGAGCTTTGGAGGAAGAAGAGGAAAATGGTGTCGTCTTGAGGATATTAAGGCCCATATGAGAGAGAGATTTCGAGCGAGTTTCTTCGCGAACAAACAGGTAGAAAATGCAAAGCGAAAATGGCTAAATGTTCTATACAGGAAGTCATTCATTAGATGTTGGGATCCAGAAAAGATTACAGGGTAGCCACCAGGCCCATACTTGAAAAGGTAGGCCCTGGCTCTAGCACCAGCAATTAAGTATTTATGAATATTTAAACTTCAATTTTAATTAAATTAATGGATCGAATTAAATTTTTGGTTAATTGATCGATTAATTTTAAATTTATCAGTTAACAGTTAATATTTTTTTCAAACTTTGATTGTCGATTAAATCGATTCTAAATTAACTGATCAAATTAATCGAAAATATTAAATATATAAAATTTATCATTTATAAATTTCGATCAACAGTTAAAGAGGGAAAATTCAATTAATGAACTTCAAATAATACGATGCAATTAGTTAATGAAGTAGTTATGCAGGCCTATATTAGTGGCTCGGTTGGGGTCACTTTGAATCACCACCAAACTCTGATTCACTGCCTCTTGGGCCTCATTGTTTTTCTTTGATCATTGTAAGGGCCAATTTATGGTACACTATCCGAACCAGTCCGTTCAATCAAGAATAAGAACTATACAAAAGAATGTTTTAAATTAGATATCGAAAACAACTCTCTTTTTAGTCGGTTGAATAATATTAAGGAATAGTTGGTGGAAGGACATAGTGTTACATAGACATTCATATGGCACACTATCCGAACCAGTCCGTTCAATCAAGAAGTCAAAGACACCCCATACAAGATTATCCGGCGGGAAGAAATGGCACACCGGGGCCGATCCGGGCTCGATTCCGAGCAAACGAAATGATACATGATTCATGTCCCATTGAGAGGTATCCATGTGACAAGCAGCAATACCTTGCACCTTATCTCCATTTTCAGCACCTAGTGAAACCTTCAGCAGTCTGGTTTCACTCTTTTGGGTGTGGCAAAATATACATGCAATCATTTTAGAAGGGATCCGTTCTGGCATGTCCGAGATCCTATAGTTCTGTAAAGGAACTTTCGGCTTGTCGAGCAAAGTCGTAGTTAATTCGAAGGTTGCTGCAGATGATTCGAGCTGATCGAACCTTGTTCGATACGATGTCTGTGAGTTATCTTCTGAGCATTACCGGCATGTACAAACTGCAATCAAAATAGAAGAAAGAAGTTTCAATGTAGGAATCTATGTACGTGGGTGTTGTTGAGCATAAATCAAGCAAAGCTCATATGATCCGTACCATCAAACAGAAAACGATGTGCACCAAGAAGCAAAACCAGAACCCATTTTGTTTGTTTTTTCCTTCTGTTTCTCAACTACACAAACAACAATATTATATTTCCAACTTCCATTGAAATAATCTACTTTTAACCAATAAAACATGCGTGTGAGAAAATAATGGATTAAACCCGGTTTCAACGGTCAGGTGTCGGTCGAATTGTTTATGTCATTCGGCATTGTCTGGCTTGTTGGCTCTATTCTACACCAGATGTAACAGGAAAACCACTTTCTTCCACAAAGTAAAACTTATCATAAAAATCAGGGGATGTCGGCAAACATGGCTTAATCTTAAGTTAACTAGAGTTAGATTGTAAACTAAGCCCAAAAAAAAATATGAGGTTCTAGGGCGGTGGTGGGTTCAAAACTGCACAAGAGTTGACTATCAACAATGGAGTGCCCTACTGCAGAACGTACCTTGTCATGTACACAATGAACATATGCATGAAATTGTTCATTTCTTCATTGCAATGATTAAAGATTGAACAAGAGAGCCGATGGTCCATTGAAAATTCTTATGGAGTAGATTCATTTCTCTTTGATATTTGACAAATAACATATCAGATTAATATCATGAATTTCGAATACGTAACACGAATATGAAAGATAAAAAAATAATTAATCTAGAAAAATAGTTAAAAATTTCAAAAGGTTCTATCAATCTTACATATTTGACATGCAAATGAAGTTGACTTTGGCATATCAGGCCATGTGCCCAGCAAATCATGCCATAAGTAGCCATAATAAAAATGTTAAAGATTAGACCAAACTATATGAGAATAAAAATAAATAAATAAAGATGCTGTGTGCATGAACCAAATGAGAACCAGAAAAAGAACAAGTGGACAAAATCTTTGATAAGCACAATAAATAAAATTGTGTATGAAGTTGAAGCTTATAAAGTTTTTTTCATGGTGTGTAGGCATTGCATCATTGCTGACTATCTTCATTTGAGAGTCAACTCAAGACTAAATGTTGTTGAATTGTTCTCTATAAACTAATATATGTGTGTGTGCGCGAGCTGTTTTAATCTATTTGCTCTAGCATTAGCCATTAGATGTTGACGAAATGATTAATCTGTTAAGTCAACAAATCACTAAATACGGCATAATAGGATAATGTTCCACTCAGAAATCCATTTCTAATTTGCCACAAAGTACAGAAATTGCAGTACAGATTGCAGATATTGCTTAATTTAATCAACAGGCTTGAAATACATCAAGTACAAATCGGTGACAAATGAGATTCCAATTCTAGATATCAGCCTTTGAATCTTATCAGAAAAAAGTTTCATAATACATCAAATATATATAGGTCAAAGTATGTGTTGTTTCTTTTTACCGGTATCCTATCTGTTGATCGATTATTTTGGATTGAGTTCTGCAAAAACTCATTACGGGACAACCCTCCAACCTATTTGTTCCATTCACAAACGGCATAATTCAAATTCTTGATCATACTTAAGGGATCTAGTATCTTATCACTAGATAAACTTATTATTAGTAAAAGTACGTGTTATTGCTTTTAGTATTATGATCAGTTCTCTTCCAACCATAAACAAATTTCAACAATGCTTGCCAGTAAAACGTGTAGGAACATTGTCCACCACTGAAAGTGACAGAAAAGGGATAGTTTTCCCTAAAACTTGAGGCTCTAAAACCCTTATTAAGGACAATACTATTTGTTTAATGGATTCTTCAATAAAACAGTGAAAACACACAGTATAATAATCATTTTCTTGTCCTCCCGTTAATGGCCTATAAATGGTTGGTCAGTCTTGAGCAACTTACAATATACAAAATAGCAAATCCTAACCCTTGTTTTTCAACACCGTCGACATGAAGACTTTCTTCTCTTTCATCATCATCTCCTTTCTTCTTCTGGTAAGCAAAACCAATAATTCAGCCGTTTTTTTCTTCATATAGAATGCTATTGAGTTGAGCAACTCAAACTTGACGATTAAAACTCAGTTAATACTCGATTCGAGTTGACACGATTTAAATTCGAGATCGACTTGAGATCTTAACGAATCGAATAAGGTCCAACGCGACTAGATAAGATAATGAGCAACTTGTTAATTCCTTCTAGGATTGATTATATATTATTGAACTTTTTTCTTCTTCTTTTAAGAATGGTTATAATAGGTTTATCTGGTGTATTCGAAAATTGTTACTTTTGTTGTAATATGTTTGTTTAGTGTATTTATAGATTGTTAATTTGGAGTTAAGAATTTAGAATTGTTTCCATCCTTTTTATTAAATTTCTTAATTTATATTTATATTAAGTTCTATATAGTATTACTAAATTTTACATATATTTTAAAAAAATAAGGTAAGAATTTTGGTGAACTTGATGAACATAAGTAGAGTAAATTTTAGTGAGTATCGAGTTAAATCGAGCACGAATAGAATAATTTTCAAATCTGAACAGAATACTTTTCATCTCACGATCGACTCACTCAATAAACACCATACTTGCTATACATCAATTACGTTTATCTGATATTTTTTTCTTTCTGCAGTTTGTGAATGTCAGCTATGGAAGAAAAGAACCAGGGGACTACTGGAGAAGTGTGATGAAAGATGAACCAATGCCCGAAGCAATCAAAGGGCTATTACATGAAGATCCGAAAGGTTCGGCCATGGATCCCGGTAAGAAAATGGAGCAGTTCGTCAGAGATTTCGACAGCAGGCATAGCCTTATATACCACAACAGCCCCGAGTCTAAGCAACAAGGCAAGACATCTGATAAAGAACTAGACAGCAAAAGTATCTGTCTCATATGTATGATCCACCTGGTAGTCTGCTTGGTTGTTGTGATTAGAATTTTAGACAATCAGAAACACTAGCTGTTTCTGTGGGGGACTAAACATGGATCTTTCCACACTTGTATTTTTCAATCTTTCGTCTTCAGCTAGTTTCATGGTTGAAAGAGAGTTTTTCCTTATCTTAAACCCTGATTGATAAGATTCGATAAATAACTTAGATCAAACGTGTATGTGCAAATCGTTTAATCCTTACACTAACATTAGGATGATGGAAAAACCTAATTGATAAGATTCGATAGTTTGAGAGTTTAACTAAATATATAAAAATGTAAGGACCAATATAGAATCCGGATCATAGTTTAAGAACGTTTAAAATTAACCCTGAGAATCCACATCAATTTTATCGGGCCATATAAACCAATTGTTGGGCTTTATCTTCTTAAAATGGGCCTATTTGACCCAAAACTAAGGCCACATCATCTTCATTTTTTAGAATGATTAAGGGTCCTTTTCTAACCTATAATCCAACGCCTACTGTACAAAGTGTTGCATATAGGAATGGCAACGGGGCATGTTTTGCTCTCCATCCTCGTCCCCGAAATGAATCCCCGTCCTGTTCTCAGTCGGCTTTTTTATCGGGCATCCCGTTGGGGATTTTTTTTACCCCGTCCCCGAATCCGACCCGATCTCGAGAAAAAATCGAGCAACCGTAGTTTTCATAAAAATAGAAAAAAACGATCACAAAAAAAAATTGGAAAAATTAGTCTATATGATTTACAATTCAAACTAAAATCACAAATTCAAACCCAATTCTAAATAATTGTCTAAACTCCAAAAAAAAACACATACATAATTAAATACAAATTTGTTTGATATTCAAATCATACAACGAAGATGCATACGTAATATTAAGTCAAATAAAATCATCCAAAATCGTCGTGCCACTTTTGTCACTTTCTTTGATAGCTCCCTACATTGAAAATTTTATCAAAAAAACCAAATTTCACTTTAATAATTATAAAAGTTAAGGTTTAGGGTTTAATATTTAAGGTTTGTATTATAATTAATATAAAATATAAAATATATATATAATTTATATAAAAAAATATATATATATATAATCGAGGCGGGGATACCTTGCCCAAATCCGAAAAAATCTCTGAATTACCCTGATACCGACCCGATCCGATATTATTCAAACCCGACCCGAACTTAACGGGTTTCGAGTTTTCCGTCGGGTTCGGGTCGTTCTTCCATTCCTAGTTGCATATGAAACCGCTATCAACAGAAGTGGATACCGTGTAGCAATGTGTAACTTCATGCAACTCGGGTATAAGATTATTATTATCATTATTATTATGTATATTATATGTATTCTCTTTTTTTGTCTTTATAAAAAAATTATCTTAAGTATGTTTTGTGGACGCGGGTTAGAGTACTATGAATGTCAGGAGAGTCTGAACGTTTATATCAAATGGTTGAGAGTTATATTTGAACAACTATATCTTGTACTTATTCCAGATTTATCAAGAAAATATTTTATATATAGTTAATCATCTATAGAACATATGGTTAAAAACTTTCGGTTGATACCTTTTTCTCTTAAGTTGTAAGTTCAATACTAATTATGGGCACAATTTCTCTTCTTTTCTCCTAAATTATAAGTATAATTTTATGATTGGATTAATTTTAATTTGATTTTTTATTAAGCAATTAATAAATATTTTTCCATTTTAGAGATCAGGTCACTTGCCTACAATCATATAATAACCTAATGTAATATATATGGGTAAAGTATATAAATGGTCATTTAACTTTTCATATGCTTGCATTTAGGTCCCTCAACTTTAATACTTGCAATACAGTCACCAAACATTTAGTTCGTTTGCAATATGGTCCCCGACGTAACGGCCGTTTCACTCAGTTTGGGTAAATTATATAAATGGTCACTGAACTTTTAAGGCGCTTGCATTTAGGTCTCCCAACTTTTAAAACTTACAACACAGTCATCAATTACATTTAAACCCCAAATTCCAAAATAATTCAATACATTCTAAACCTCAAATTCCAAAATACTTCAATTACATGCCCAAACCCAAATTCATAATCCATTCTCAAATCTACCATAACAAACTGAACTTGAAACATCAACCCTAAACCCTCAAAACATAACCCTAAATGTTAAATTTCTCCACCAATTAACCCAACATAATCAACAACATTTAGTTCATTTTGGGTCCATAACATAAGTGATTATGTTGAGTTTAGATTTAAAAGTTAGATTTAACCAACTATAAGTGAACAATATCAATTCGATTCAAAAAAATTATTTTTCGACTTGAATTGATTCAAAAAATTTGATACAAATTGATTTTTGAGTTGTAATTTCATAAACTCAACTTAAAAAAATTTCAAGTTAAAATCGAGTTGTAAAATACAACCCGAATATCTCAAATTTTTTAGTAATTAGTGGATTAATTTTTAAGTTAGAGTCAAGTCCATTGACTCTGTATGATATAGTATATCACATATGGAAAAAATATGAAGAAATATGTATTGTATATGGTGAAAAAAATTTAAATTAGAATCAAATATTATAGTATAATAAATATATAATTAAATTAAATAGAAACTCGAAAATTCAATTCAATTTGACTTGATTTAAATTTTATAATCTCAAAGCGAAAAAATTTCGAGTCAACTATTTTATAAACTGAACTGAATTAGAATCAAATAATATTATA